TTAGCACAGCTACTCCTACGATTACCATGAAAACGCTTACTACAGCAACTACCACAACGACGCCTACTACAGCAGCTCCTACGACTGCCACAACAGCGCCTACTACAGCAGTTCCTACGCCTACTACTCTAGCTCCTTTGTCTACTACTACAGCTCCTACACCTACTACAGCAGCATTCGTGCCCACAACCAGAGTTACTACACCAACAAAGAGCCAGCCGTCCGGGCCCTCTGATACAGGTACAGTGCAGAGCCTAGAAGAAGGATGTAATCGGTGTTAATAAAATTAAATTTAGATAAAGTGTTTTGCGCTGGATGCTGAATTGGACGAGACCAGACTCGGAATAAGGGAAGAAGAGATTCTAAAGTCTGAGATACGAGAGAGTTTTGTGCGCACTGGATGAAAGGAGCCATTTCCGGGATCACCGCGGGAGGCTTATTCTATATTTCACAGAAGTAGTTTAGCAAACCTGTAATCGCTGACAGTAAATTTTCCAATGTTCGTTCAAGTACACCTTTCTCACAGTCGAATCTTGCAACAGTAGTTAACCAGTAAGATGATGGAGCTTTGCTTAGTTTCACCGCGCAATGGTACAGGGTCCTGCTCAATATTGGTACAGATATCAAGAAAAAAGTAGACATACAGTTTTGCCAAATGGCTGTAAGTGGTGCCAGAATAATGAGTACGCTCGCCGAATTGACCCTTATTTGTCCCGACATAAAAAAATTCGCGCTTTACACGACTGATGACGCTGTGGTACGAAGGCGGTTAACCCAAGAAGCCCAAGAGACGCCAGAAGCGATTTATATTTGGAGATAAATTATAGTGAAAGTACCCGGCACTTTTAGGTAGTATTAAGGAAATGAGAGGATTCTGTGGATTAGGCAAGGTCCTGTACATGCCGATTTGTGGCGTATGTGGGCATTTTCCTAATCCGTAAAGTCTTGCGAAGATAGTTGCTATTTGGAGCTCAGCGATTGAATTTAGTGCTTAAAATTGGCGTCTATTCACCACATTCAGCATTTCGTCACCGGTAAAATCACTTGATAATCGTTTCTTTACACGTTGCGGTTCTCCGATCCGATATTTTGAAACTTCAGTGATGCAGTTAAATCTGCACGATTTTATAACTACTCTTCGGTGTGCGGAGAGCTGGCGAGGTTTTGCGACTCATACTCACTGCAGTTTCCAAACTCACTTTTCATCGAGCTTTTAGTTCATAGGAGGGCGCAGGGCGGGTTGTGGGGGGCGGAGCGCCGTAGGCGGGGAAAGGCTAGCAAACTCATAATTGTAAGAATAAATTCAAAGCCTAGAACAAAATGTTCGAAAATCAGCTTACGCACTTCGATGATCTGAAATATAGGCCGACCTACTACTGTGATGACCTCAAGTCTATTCTTGAGTTGATGACACAGCTTAAGATGATAAAGCCTAAGAATGTCGAAATTTTAACGTTTGTAATTACTAGTCCAGCCAGCCAAAAAACACCGGTGAAAGATCATAGGGACTGAGAAATCGCCTTGTGTCAGCTACTAATTTCTACATTCGTTTAATTAGGCTCAGCAGCCTTATCAAACAACTTTGCTTCGCTTAACAATACGTAATTCTCCAACAATATCACAAGACAAATGTTTAATGAAACTGTATTTTCAGACTATGATGAATATGATACAGACTCTTCGAAGAGAAATGGACTGAATCCACTCCTTGGAACATGCATTCTGCTTTTGACGTCGCTGTTATCACAGTGATATTTTCGACACATTGATTATCAGCTATGCAAACTGTGTGATGATCACATTAAAAACATTGGTTTTCATGAAACTAACAGTGGGGTAGGAATAGAATAGCTAGCGCCTTTTACTGCTCTAGCCTTATCCCCCAAATTCTCAAACAGAACTCTCGTACCTGATTTCTCCTGGTATGCACAGAAAAATAATTTTGAATGTATATTTAAAATTGAAGGAAATAGAACAAAACTGTAATTATATAGCTAAACAAGGTGTGTTTCGGCCTTTGAAGTCGTGTGTATTCCTGTAGAGCACCACAACTGGATCCCGTCAGCACGATGATTGTGTTCGTTAATCGCAGAATACCATATTCCACTCAGTGCTATGCTCTTT